GGCTATCTTCGCTGCTGTACCGGCGGAGTACAGGGAGCCGTTGGGGATGAAAAGCTCAGCTAAGGAGGCGTGGGAGGCCATTGCGGCGATGCGCGTCGGTTCTGACCGCGCAAAGAAGGCGACGGCCCAGCTTCTGAAGCAGGAGTATGCAAACCTCAAGTTCAAGGATGGTGAAACAAGGGAGGACTTTTCCCTCCGCCTGCAGACGCTCATCAGCAAGCTGAAGAGCCACGGCGTCACCATCGACGAAGAGGAGGCGGTCTCCAAGTTCCTCCACTCCGTGCCGGCAAAGTACATCCAGATCGCTCTCTCCATAGAGACGATACTGGACTTGTCCATCCTCACCATCGAGGATGTGGCAGGCCATCTGCGGCGGTGGATGAGCGCCTGGGGCAGGCGACAGCAATGAAGGACAGCGGGAAACTCCTGCTGATGGAAGAGGAGTGGGCTGCTCGGCGAAACTCTAGGAAGGCAGCCTCCTCCAGTCACGGTGGCAAGGGCAAGCACCGAGACAGGGCTTCTTCGGAGAAGAAGCACATCGACTCCAACGCCTGTCGGTGTTACGGGAAGATGGGCCATTGGGCACAGGAGTGCCCAAATCGCAAGAAGGAGAAGAAGGCTCAGGCTCACCTGGCGAAAGCCGATGATGAGGATGAGGCCACTATCCTTATGGCGATGTTCTGTGCACTGCACGACGTCGAGGCCATGGAGAGGGAAGAGGCGACAACGGTGGAAGGATCTAGCAAGGCCCTGAAGACCATCAACCTCGACGAACCACGTGGCCAAGTCCATCTCGGGCGTGTGGGCGCCGACCAGGAGCAGCGGTGGTATCTGGACTCTGGTGCCAGTAACCACATGATGGGCTCCAAGGACTCCTTCTCCGAGCTCGACGGCGATGTTACCGGTACGGTAAAGTTTGGTGATGGCTCAAGGGTGGCTATCCAAGGGCGCGGCACCATCATCTTCAGATGCCAGAACGGGGAGCACCGTGCGCTAACGGATGTATACTACATCCCGCAGCTGCGTTCCAGCATCATCAACATTGGTCAGCTGGATGAGCGCGGTAGCGAGGTTCTAATCAAGGACGGCGTTCTGAGGATCAGAGACCGGGAGTAGCGACTTCTCACCAAGGTGAAGAGGTCCCTGCATCGGTTGTACCTGCTCGACCTGAAGGTAGAGCAGCCGGTTTGCCTGGCGGCAAGGCACTCCGAGGAACCATGGATGTGGCATGCCCGGTTCGGACATCTCAGCTTCGACGCGCTTGGTCGGCTGGGGAACATGGTCCGAGGGCTACCCCACATCAAGCACAGAGGCGAGCTGTGTGACAGCTATCTGGCCGGGAAGTAGAGGAGGCTACCTTTCCCAAAGGCGGCCAAGTATCGCGCGAAGAAAGCTCTCGAGCTAGTTCACGGCGACCTCTGCGGGCCGATCACGCCTGCTACATGCGGTGGTCGGCGGTACTTTCTCCTACTCGTGGACGATTGCAGTTGCTACATGTGGCTGCAACTCCTGACGAGCAAGGACAAAGCGGCGGTGGCGATCAAGAAGTTCAAGACGCGCGTGGAGGCCGAAAGCGGCAAGAAGCTCCGCGTACTGAGGACTGATCGGGGTGGTGAATTCACTTCGGTGGAGTTTGCTACATACTGCGCGGATCAGGGTGTGGGACAACATCACACCGCGCCGTACTCGCCACAATAGAATGGCGTGGTGGAGCGACGGAACCAGACAGTGGTCGGCATGGCCCGATCCATGATGAAGGCCAAAGGGATGCCGACAAAGTTCTGGGGAGAGGCGATGACCACGGCGGTGTTCATCCTCAACCGTGCTCCAACCAAGGCCCTAATGGGCAAGACGCCGTTCGAAGCTTGGTATGGGAGCAAGCCGAACGTGTCATTCCTCCAGACATTCGGTTGTATCGGCCACGTCAGGAAGACAAAGCCGAACCTCACCAAGCTAGAGGACAGGAGCACACCCATGGTGTCCCTGGGCTACGCGGAGGGTACCAAGGCGTACCGGCTCTATGACCCACGCGGAGACAAGGTGACTGTCTCGTGCAACGTTGTGTTCAATGAGGAGGCGGCTTGGGACTGGAACAGTCCGAGCACGGGGGAAGCAGGAGGCTTCCCCAACACCTTCGTCATCGAGCACTTGGTCATCCACTGCGGTGGAGACGCTGCGGAATAGGTGCCACGCACTCCGGGAGGAGCGCCGAGCACTCCGGCGGTAGAGTCGAGCACTTCTGGGGCAGTGCCGAGCACTTCAGGAGGGATGCCGAGCACTCCGAGAGGAGTGTCGAGCACTTTTGGAGGGATGCCGAGCACTCCAGGAATGGAGCCAGGAGGTTCTGCAGTGGTGTCGACCACTTTAGGACGGGTGCCGAGCACTCCCGTGGCGGAGCCAAGACGTCTTACTATGGTTCCGACCACTCCAAGACTGAGGCTAGACACTCCTACAGTGTGGCCGAACACTGCAGGAGTTATGACGAGCAGTCCAGAAGCAGTGCCGAGCACTTCGGGTGCTATGCAGGGCACTCCGGCGGAAGAAGGAACTCCATCACCCCCGATCGAGTTCACCTCACCTCCAAGTGACATCACTGAGTTCGTGGACTCCTACCACGAAGGTGAGGAGTTGAGGTTCCGTAGGCTGGACGACATCGTCGGCGGCACAGGTCCCTCAGGTCTGGCAGGTAGGCTGCTCAACGACGCAGAGCTGCTACTCGTCAGTGCAGAGGAACCACCCATGTTCGCGCTAGCCGAGCGCGATGGAAACTGGCGACGGGCGATGCTGGAGGAGATGAAGGCGATCGAGGAAAATGAGACTTGGCAGCTCGTCGATCCACCTCCAGGATGCCGTCCGATCAGCCTGAAGTGGGTGTACAAAGTCAAAAGGGACGAGCTCGGCGCCATCGTCAAGCACAAGGCGTGCCTCGTCGCCCGAGGCTTTGTCCAGCGCGAGGGCATCGACTTCAAGGAGGTCTTTGCGCCAGTAGCGCGCATGGAGTCGGTCCGTTTGCTACTTGCTTTGGCGGCAGCAAAGGACTGGTGCGTCCATCACTTGGACGTTAAATCGGCCTTCCTCAACGGCGAGTTGGCGGAAACGGTCTTCGTCAGGCAACCTCTAGGGTTTGCCGTCAAGGGAGAGGAGCACAGGGTGCTCCGACTGCACAAGGCGCTCTACGGGCTGCGGCAAGCCCCTCGAGCATGGAACGCCAAGCTTGACGCCACGCTGGGCGAGCTTGGGTTTCAAAGGTGCGCAACCGAGCACGCGCTCTACACGCGACGACGGGGGAAGGAAGAGCTCGTGGTCGGCGTGTATGTGGATGACTTAATCGTCACCGGCGTGCGCACGGAGGATATCAACAGTTCAAGCGAGAGATGGCAGCTCGTTTCCGAATGAGCGATCTCGGCGCTCTCTCCTACTACCTAGGCATCGAGGTGAGACAGGGGAAGGAGGAACTCACGCTCGAGCAAAGCGCGTATGCCTCCAAGCTGTTGGAGAGGAGCGGCATGGTGGAGTGCAAGCCATGTGTGACTCCGATGGAGGAGCGGCTGAAGCTGACGAAGGCCAACACTGCGGCGAAAGTGGATGCAACACTCTACCGGAGCATCGTCGGCGGTTTGCGCTATCTAGTCCACACAAGGCCGGACATTGCATTCGCCGTGGGCTACATCAGTCGCTTCATGGAGGATCCCAGAGAGGATCACTAGGCTGCGGTGAAGCGGCTACTACGCTACGTCAAGGGGACGGTGAATCATAGAATCATCTTCCCAAAGACCGGTGAGAGTAGGCTGCAGCTCACGGTATTCAGCGATGCAGACATGGCGGGGGATATCGACGGACGATGGAGCACCTCTGGCGTGCTCGTCTTCCTCGGGTCAGCCCTAATTTCATGGTTGTCGTTGAAACAGAAGATGGTGGCGCTATCTACGTGCGAGACAGAGTATGTAGCGCGCGCCACAGCGGCGTGCCAAGTTGTGTGGCTACGCCGACTGCTGGGCGAGCTGACCGGCGTGGAAGCTCACCCACTAGCACTGATGGTGGACAACCAGCCCGCCATCGCCCTCGCGAAGAATCCGGTTCTACACGACCGGAGTAAACACATCGACGTAAAGTTTCACTTCCTCAGGGACTGTTAATGGAGGGCAAATCGTCATCGAGTTCGTCGAAACTACTCGGCAGCTCGCAGACGTCCTCACCAAGCCGCTCGGACGACTTCGACTCACGGAGCTGAAAGAGATGATCAGCATGGAGGGGGTACAAGGGTTAGCAATAGGATTAGGGGAAGATTGTTAGCTAATCTACTGCCACCTTGTATGAACACAACAGAGAAAGGCGGCGCCGACTTAGCCGCCTGCTGTGTGTGAACACAGCAAGGGAAGGCGGCGCCGACTTTGCCCCCTGCTGTGATACAGTAGCCGCTGCAGGTGCAGACGCCGCACGGCTCACCTGCAGCACTGTAGAAACAGGTAGTGGCCGGCGCAGAGTCAGCCCTGTCTGGTTATCTAGTTACTGTGCCAGCATGGGCGCTGCACATGGACTAGATAGTTAGAGTTGTATAAATAGACATGTATGGCAACTTAGTAAAGAGAGCTCAGATTTGCCATCACACAGACAGGGCCTCGGCCAACGCTGTTGTCTTGTATTGTGCGTGCTTGCTCTGTTCTCCCTTCTTCTCCCAACTCCGTCCGTAGTGTGTGGGTACGGACAACGCCGGTACGTGGTCTGCACGGCTAGTTGGTGCTCGGCAACAATAACGCGTGCTCGGCGAGACCGTCAAGTGCTCCACTCGCCTGAGCCGGTGCCCGGCAAGAGTGGTTCACTGTCGTGAGCCGGTGATCATGTGAGACTAACGGAGTGGTCTGTAGGCCATCTCGGTGGTCTGGAGGCTATCTGTAGTGGTCTGTATGCTATCTCGGTTGTCTGGAGGCTATCTGTAGTAGTCTGGAGGCCATCTCGGTGGTCTGGAGGCTATCTGTAGTGGTCGAGAGGCTAACTGTGGGTCAACAGTCGTTACACCAATCACTGATCAACTTCTCAAATATCTTACCAACCTTTCCGGAGGAACACCGACGCAACAAATCCTCCATCCACTCTTCCACGGGAAGAAGCCGAGGGCCTTCGAAGAATATGATAAGGAGAATGGCGATTGCCTCCTTCACCTGCTTGCTGTCTTTCACATCCCCTCTATATCCAGCTAAGGTGTGAAATGCATTGAGAAATTGCTGATACCCCACTTCTAGATCGGGTAGATCACAATCGATTAACTTGGGGTAAATTCCACTAGTATAAAGTGACATAGACTTCTTCATGATCTTAGGTAGCTTCTCATCTACCTCATATATTTGCCCGCCACTAGTGACTATCCCTCTAAACCAGCTCTGGTACTTATCAGCCACTAGATCAAGATTTTTAGTACCATCTATAAGTCTAATGACACAAGTTCCCTGCCTTGTTTTATCATCAGGAGTCACAGGGACAACCACTTCATTTCCTCCAGCCATGACAAAAGTAAATTTCACAGTGGTGTCTTTGTCCATAGCTGCACGAATGTCTTCAACACACTTCTTATATCTTTTAGCAAACTTTTTTGGCTTTCTCATATCAAAAGTCGTGATTGGAGTAGGGATGTCCTGTGTAGAGCATTGAACTACATATGAGGAGACAACACTGAAAATGGATAAAACCAAAGGCAAAGCCTATAAATGCAGAACATTTTTTGGTTTGAGGTTTACACTTACATCTAGGATCCCTGTGTCAACCTCTTCAACTTTCTGCTTTCCTTTGTTTGGTGCCATATCTCAGTATGTTGCTCGTCTTCGGTCGTGTAGCAGTATACTACTCTGCACACCTAACAAGAAAAACTGGGACTTTGTTGACACAAATAACGTTGGGTAAACAAGACTGATGCTTTGATATCCTCAGTTCCCCACCAAATCTAATTAAGCATTTGGCTTTCCATACAGAGAAAGTAATATAAAGATCTGTATGCATGAAAAAAAGACTACCTTTTCTGAAACGAATTGGTCATAAACACTACTCCTACACTGACAGTACTAAAAAGACATGCTTTCAACAATTACAACGGCTTAATCAGATCTTGCTACAAAACCCCAACACAGTTTCATGCAGACAGATTGATAGACAACGAAAGAGGCTACATCACAACTAGAGAGAGATGAAACTGCAGAGAGGGTGGGCGAGCCTACAGAGCTAGAGAGAGACGAACCTGCACAGAGCGTGGGCGGCGAGATGGGGTTCGAATCGAATAGAGCAACTAGATCAATCGTCGATCGTCGTTGTGGATGCTGCGGGAGGACGTGCAGTGTCGGGGCGGGGAGGGAGAACTGGAGAGGAGAGGAGAGTCGAAGCCAGCTGTCGATCGCCGTTCGTCGCACGTTGGCCGGCCGGCCAGGGATGAAGCTGGCTGGCCGTACGCCCTCGTCCTGCTCCTATGCCGGCGAGCTGGTCGTAGTCGCGCGCGCCACCTCGCCGTCGCCGCCGACGGCGGCGGCGGCCACCATGGGCGAGCACGCGTGAGCGACCTAGCTAAAACCCCTACCTTTCCGACGCGAGCAAGATGCGGTGGACGGTGGTGGTGTCTCTGCGGCCTGCGCGCTTCTTGTTCTTGGCGTTGTACTCCACTACTACTCCTGTCCTGTAGACTCTACGGCGCTTCCTCGAGTTCGGGGTCTTAGCCCTCTGTTGAATCGACCGCTCGACGGGTCCCACTTACCGGAACGGGAACGGGAATGCAGCATGCACAGGTTGGATAGAGAGTAGAGGGAGGGAGGGAGGGAAGGCAGCGCGGCGGAGCGCTTGCTTGTGTGTGGACTGTGGATTGTGCAGGGTGGTGGGAAAAGCAAAAGGCAGGGGTACAATGGTAAACACAGTGGCTCGTGCATTGGTTCAAGTTGGTTTTGGTCCGTTGCAGGTCTCCAGCCCAGTACCAGTGCTACGAGTGTCAGTGTACTACACCCCTACACGGCTGCTCCGTTCGCTGGTCTGAAACTTGGCTGAAAACACTGTTTCGACTAGTTTATTGTGAGAGAAAAACACTGTAGCGACTGAAACTGGCTGAATCTCCAGAGGAGAACCAGCCGGCTGGTTCGCTGGAACCAGACCAGCGAACAAGGCCTATATTATAGGCGAAATAGCCATATTCATCCTTAAACTTTCATCCAAAGCTCAAATTCGTCCTTCAACTAACAAAATGGTCGGTAGTCCTCGAATTTGCAATTTCAGTCCAATTTCATCCTCTGTCTGATGCCGTCTTCCACACGAAAGATCACTCCGTCAGCACAGTTCTATTGGGAGACCAAAAAAGGTGATTGAAGACTTCGCATCCATGAATCACAGCTTGACACGGTTGTATTTGCATTCAGATAGACAATGGGATGATATGTATAGTGATTGACAAAGGTTGCGAAAAGAAATATGTAAACTTATGCATGGTAGGGATGAAAACGGATCGGATCGGAGCCGATAATGGCTTCCCCATATCCTAATCCATTTTTTATCAGATTCGAAGCGGATCAGATATTATACGGATTCGGATGTGAATATGGATTTTTTAGATGTCGGAAATGATACAGATTTGGACTGGTGATGGAGCGGAAGCGGACTTTTTTAAGTCAGATAATATCTGCTTACGTGTTATTTTTATGATGAGAAACAATTCATTAACCAAAGTCATAAAGCGGCAATACCACACGAAATAATCACCATCAATCCACCACTTCGATTTAAGAGCTCACAAAATTAATACAAGTTCTCAGTTTAAATTTAAGAGTATAAAACAAGTGTGTAAAAAATAAATATTCTTAATTTGGCAAAACTTTACCTTCACTCTTTGCCGTGTACTAGTTCTCCACTTTAGTAGATGATAATTCTTTTGTCTCCTGTAATTTCAATGTACCAACCTATAGATGATGAGCTTTCTTTGTGGACTTCAATATAATAATGCTTGTGTCATGGGCCAGGCTTACTTGTATTCTTGCCGCTTGGGCTCCTTAAAATATTCCAATTATCCTATTATAAGCATCACGCGTTCCGTCGGATTTCGCCAATTCCATATCCTACACCGCATCCGCATATAATTGGGTTCGAATTATCCGTATCCGCATGGATATTAAAAACACTTCTCCACATCTATAAAATTCGGATTTGGAGCGGATCAGAGCAGAGGGTTATCTATACCACTGGTGCTTTTGCATTGTAAGTGGTTGTAGGCCTGTGGATAATCATGTAGTGATTTTTGAAATCAAATGATTTTTGAAATCTAATTATAGTACCGACTTTCCATGACTTAGTGCCTGATTTTACTGGTTCTGAAGGGTCTTTCTTTCTATTTTTGGGTGGGCGTCCTCGCATTTTCTTCACTCTAAGAGGCAATGGCTTTGGATTTGGAGATACAGGCCATGCTTACTCATACTCCACGGGTTGCAGCACATGCTGATATGTCCAGAGACTTGCCAAAATCTGCAAGTGTGTTGTCTCGTCTCAAAGTGTGTTAACGGAGTGAGCTACTATAGCAGACGACGTCCGACAGAGGACGAGATCGAACCAAAATTGTAAACTCAAGGACTAAACCAGCCCTTTTAATAGTTGAGGGACGAATTTGAGCTTCAGATGAAAGTTTAAGGATGAATATGGCTATTTCGCCTATATTATATTGCGTCCGCATTTATCCACGGTAGAAAACAAAGCAAAACAAGCAACATACTGATACCGAAAGAATGAGATGGTGATTCCACTCATCTTATTTGTTATTTTCTGGTTTGTCCCGGTTAGCAATTTTATTAATCCTATAGTGTTTAGGCTGAAATGCCGAAAGTAGAATCGATGCAAAGTGAAGGTAAAAATAGTGTAAATTCTGAAATGATTCAATATTAAGTGTCTTGTTATGTAAGAGAGCATGTATTTATAGAGGCGGCAAACAACCTTAAAGTTTATTGGCTATTTTGTCATTGACACTGACTAGGTTTTTGAAAATATTCCCAAATATTCTAGGAAAAGAACCATGCATTACATAAATTATTTAGCACACGTTTGGTTCGAAGACAAGATGGAATGAGATGATGATTCTATCTCTGTTTTTTCGGACGAGATCGTCCCATCTCTTGTTTGGTTAAGAGGGATAGATCCTTCTTAATTTTTTGTTTGGCTTGAGGGACTGACGAAGAGGGATGGATGGATTCTTCACCCAATCATGGTGACCCACCAATCATCAGTGTGGCCTACCAATCATCAGTGTGGCCTACTGGTCAGCGTCATATGCATCTTCTTCCTGACGCTCAATCTGTGCTCACTGCCTTCTCTCGGTCGTCGCAAGTACTATGTCCCTACATCGCTCAATGCCGCCATCCCAACACCACCTATCCACCCACCTATCCCCCACCCGTCCACCCACCTGACAACCGGAATCGACCTGCCTCGGCTTTCCCTTCTCCTATGTTGCAAATATATGTTTCAAGTGTTTCAGATGTTTCAAAGGTATGTTGCAATTGTTACATATGGATGTTGCAAAAGTGGATCGGTATGTTGCACATGTTGCATATTTTTGCAAGTGTTTTCAGTGGTATGTTGCAAGTGTTTTGAAAAAATATTTCATCTGTTTTCAAACGTTTGTTGCAGCAAATGTTTTAACTGGATGTTGCATATGTTTCACACACATTTGGCAAGCGTTTTATCTGGATATTGCATAAGTTTCACACACATGTTGCAAGTGTTTTATATGGATGTTGCATATGTTTCACACATATGTTGCAACAGTATGTTTCAAATGTTTCATCTGTGTCGAACGTACGTTGCATCCAAGTGTTTCACGGGAGCATGGTAAGTGATGGGTGCACGGCCCGGGCACTGGTGGATGTGGCGCGATAGAGCTGGGGACCGACGAATAGGGGCGCAGCGAGCTGAGGGCCGGCTCTTGGGTCCCACCCACGCGGAGAGAGAGGAGGGGGTTAGGCCATCAGGGGTAAGGAGCGGGGCGTAGTCGGGGAGGGGGGGCAGGCTGCACGTGCGAGGCGGTGCGCGGGCTGTGCGGCGGTCCATCCGGACACGAGGAGCGGCGGGCATAGCGTCAAAGGCAGGGTGCATGTGCGAGTCGAAACGAGGTGGATGGAGGCAGGGTGCGCGTCCGTCCGTCCGAACTTCCGGACGCTAGCCACGTCCAATTTAGAATGAAGAGACTAATATTTTTCTTTTTACGGTGGAGGCTGGAAGGTGATGTTCACCTACGGGTACAGCACTCGATGCGCACGCGCTGAGAGGGGTAGCGACGCGTACGCGTTGCGGAGGGTTAGGGACGCGCTGTTCATTTCCCTCGTGATCCATCGCGGGGTCGGCTTCCTTCAAAGCGTCCGTTCCCCTGTCTAGCTTCTGGCACTGTATATACACGTAACAAATAACAAACTAACGACGCTTCAGCCCATATGCCTATTTGCCTGATTACCTGTCTACATCCTCGAAGATTCGACCCATTTTCTATTCTATTTGGGCTGCCTTTTTTTTTTGAAAACTTTTTTGGGCTGCTTTCGATTCTCATATTTGAGTTTTTTTATTAAGCCCACATGCATTTCTAGAGCTTTTTACTTCTCCTTCGGGAGGAATTGTTTCCAGATATATATATGGATGTAGAAGTAGGTTTTAAAATTGTTGCTCAACTTTGTGAAATTGAAATTACTCAACCAATATCGAAAACAAAACAAAACAGAGCCTAAAAATAAAAAAAACTTGAAAACTAGCTTTAGTCTTCCTTTAGTAAGATTAAAAAGAATAACATGCAACATGTCCA